GGCCTCAGCATCGTCTGTGAAAGAAATATTTGTTTATATATAACTATATATGTATGTATATATATATATATATTTATTTATATTTATTTATGGTCATGCGCTCCACGGCCCCCCGGCTTTTGTTAGTCGCCCTTGGTCCAGGATGCCCCTGTGGGGTGGGGTGTGGTTAGCTTAAGCTTTTGAGTTTCGTGTTGAAGGTTTAGGGTTAAAAGGCACAAGGCTGCGAGTCGACAAGGGCTTATTAGGCTTGGGTGCAGGGTTTACAGTACAGGTTCAGGTTAATAAAGATAGGAGCACGCGCTACGATATAGGGTTCATGGCTTGCGTAGGGCTTGGGTAAGATCCCCTGCCCTGTGTGGGACCCCTGGCAGCCCATACCATGGGGGGCGGGGAACGCCAGACGCCTGACCATATATATATATATATATATACACATACATATGTGCACAGATAGATGTACAAGTGTATTCTTGTTTTGTAGGTGCTTACTAGTCAATGACGGTACTCGTTGTTTCCCAGTTTATGTGTCTATCTATATTGGTCTATCTATCTCATTCCATCCATCTATCTAACTATCTAGCTATCTATTTTTGTCTACATGCGTTGCGCATGCTCTCTCGCATCGGAAGGTGGAACCAGGAGCAGACGAGGTCTGGAGGGAGGCGCGCTGATGTCCATTCAGGGCTCCGATTTAACCTTCTTGCTGACGTGTGTTCCGTTTCGGCGCCCCGGCATGCATGCCTAGGGCCAGTTCACACCCGTGAGGACTTTCCAAGCCGGGGATGTTCTGGCGGCCGTCAATGGCAAGAAGACCTGGGAGGAGCCTCGCAGTGCTTGTCATAGCTTGCTTTCGCCGACACCGTTGGTCTCTTCTTGGCTGCATATCCACAGGTAGATCAAATCCCTCATAGAGTCACTGAGGCGGTCATGATTGGAGCACCCGCATAGTCAGATGCATGCTTGCCGGCTGCCGCTTGGTGAGGACATGGCCACCTTCAAAGACTTGTTAGAGGCACGACTGGTGTTTGCCTGCGGCCCAGCAAAAGTTTGTCGCAAAGCTTTGCTTTCGCACCTTGGTATCTAGGTGGAGCCCCAAGCCACTGCTGCAGAGTTTGGGCAGACGCTAGCTTGACGAACTTCGATAAACTGTCCTCCGGCAGCATCCGTATTCATGACGGGATCCTCTTCAATGAAGACGACGGACCCTTATGCACCAGGCACCATCTCTCCTGTGATAGCTTGTAACGATTCCACATCTCTAGCATAGCGACCTAGAGACCTTCCGGTGGAATCCCCATCGGCGTATTTGCCAGGATAGGTGCTTCCTGTCTTTTGGAGTCCCATGCCTGTGGAGGTCCGCAGCCAGTCGCTGAAGGCATCCACTTGCAGACCCTAAACCCTAAACCGAGTCTAGAATGATCCACTTTACATCCTCAGCCCTAAGCTGAAGCCTGTCACAACAGAACCGCTCAAAACCCCCCAAAACCTGCTCGCCACCTCCCAGGTTCGAGAGTCTGAGGAGCCTCAACAGGAGAAGGAGAAAGCCGGTTCTGAACTGAGTAGCTTCTGGAGCTTTAGGGGACTCTGACAAAAAAGTTCTATAAGGCTGTTGTGCATCGTGAGAGCTACTATGCAGGCTCTATAGGGCGACTATAAGGGCTACTCGAAGGTTTCCAGAGTGGCTCTGCGAGCAGAAAAATGGCATACAGGAAGGGTATCTGCGAGCTTCGATCAACCTGGCTCATTAAGCGTTGAACTGCACAAATGCCTGTCTGACTGATCCATCCATGCAGCTTACACAAATACGAAGATTTGTTTGTACGCACATATATACATACACGCATGTAATCATGCATATTGACATACATGCATGCTTGCATACTTCCGCGCATTCGCACTTCGGTTCATACATACATGCGTATATACCCAGCAGCTCAGGGCCAGCCCTGACTGCTGCTGCAGAGGGCCTGGCACCACCTCCCTTTGCTTCTGGAGTCAGTGGCTTAGGCGCAGCGAGACCTGCACCGCTGCCACTTCCGTGCCCTGTTACACATATGCAGCCGACTGTTCTGGAGATGACTGATGACCGCATAGGAGATCTGTAGAGCAGAGCCGGGCAGAGACACAAACAAGCGCCAAACACCCACGCACACACTCGGCAAGCACAAATCCTGAAGGCTTCTGTGCGGCGCTACTTGTCGCCTGCATTGGCTGCTGAGGACTACATCCTGGACTCGTCTGGCAGTGGTTGGCCGGGAACTCTGAAGCAAAAGGTTGCAACCGGTCGTGATGCCGAGTGGTCAAGCACGGCTGATGGTTTAGGATTCAATAATTTGCTACCTGCCGTCTCTCCGCGCTTCCTCGTAGAACCGAAGGAAATCTCCTTCCGATCCAACAAACGAGGTGGGGCCATCCGAGTGGCGATTGGCTGTTCAACAAGTCCGAGGCAGAAAGAAGCGGAAAGGATTCGAGACAACATGATACACGATACAAGTGCGTGATGATTACAGCAAGTTGTGCAACGACCAACGGGTTGTGCTTCGGTGGCAGCTGAGCAAGCCAAATGTGCCAACCAGTAAGGCAACCCCATACACTACAGTACACCCGAAACTGAACCCTGAATTGGTTTTGTTGGTGAGCCTTTCGAACGAAGAGGGCATCTACTTCCACTCCGCAAGCACGAAGCTCTTCATGGAGGATCCACGAGCTGGATGCCCAGCTCAGCGGCGTGACGGTTCGCAAATCGTTCGTTTTAGATCCTTCCAGGGCTCTGGGTTTAAGTTTTCATAGGAGTTTAGGACCTATTTGACAGAGGTCTTTATGATTCGGATCCTGTCCAGATGCTGCACCGAAGCACAGCAGTCTTCGAGCATCAACTCTCTGGCATCATTCTTCCTATCAGCAGTTCGTATATTCTAGTGGTCTGTATGATCGTATGCTATATATCATGTTATGTTATGCTATATTAGCAATATAGTGTCTTAAACTATATTATGTTATGCTATGCTACACTATAGCATTACAGTGCATAAAACTATATTATGTTATGTTATGCTATGCTATATTATAGTATTATAATAGTGTCTTAAACTCTATTTTGTTATGTTATGCTCTACTATAATGTATTCTGTTGTATTAAGCTAGGCCGTCGTAGATCCGAGCCAAGGCACCCGGCCGGTTTCTGCCCGTGGGAGGCCTTGAGCTCTCAGCGTTCTCGCTGCTTTTTTTGTAGGACGTCTTGGCACCTCCTTCCGTGTTTAGGGTTTAGGGTTTAGGGTTCAGGGTTTAGGGTTTAGGGTTCAGGGTTTAGGGTTTAGGGTTTCCGTAATATGGGAGTTTCCGAAAATTTGGGTACCTTATTTTGGGGTCCTTAATAAAAAAAAGGATCCTACTATTTGGGGTGCTATATTAGGGTCCCTTATTTTCGGAAACCCCCATATAGAAGCCAAAATAATTACCTATACTATTGTGGGGGTTCCTTATCATGACTATAGTATAATATACCCCGAAAGCCTCTTCTAATGATTAAGGCTCCTACATCAACTAGGGAGCAACGGGCCAAACAGCCCTTCAAAAGCATGGGGCTCTGTGTCTTATACTGGAATCATCTTGATACCCTCTGTTTGTGTGGGATCTGGACAGTAAGCCCTAAAAACCCTAAACCCTAAACCCTAAACTAAACCCGAAGCCTCGCAACCCAAAGCCCTAAGGCCGATCTTGCTGGTATCGGTGGAAGCTTGAGACCTTCAACTATGAACGTGAACACCCTTACCCTTCAACACCTTTAGGTTTAGGGTTGAGGGGTTTAGGGCTTAGGGTTTACAGTTTAGGGGGCTTTGAACCAAAAAGACAGAAGAAGGAAATGCAACAAGTATTTTGAAGCAAACCCACAACCTAAACCCTCAAACGCTAACCTTCGGGGGGTAAGCTTGAAGCCCGAAGCCCCACATACATAGCTCTGAAACCCGAACCCCGTACATACCCCCATAATTAAAAACCTCCTCGCAGGAACCCGATTGGGCTTCTTGTGGGCTTCTTCCTGGCTCTGAGCCTAAACCCTACACCCCGGTCCCAAGACCCTAAACCCCAAACTCAGCCCACAGCACCTACAAGTAGAAGAAGAACACCAGCAATAGCAAGGAACATAGTAGTAGTAGTAGTAGTAGTAGTAGTACTAGTACTAGTACTAGTACTAGTACTAGTACTAGTACTGCTAGTGGTACTGGTAGTGGTACTGGTAGTGGTAGTGGTAGTGGTAGTGGTAGCGGTAGTGGTAGTGGTGGTGGTAGTGGTAGTGGTAGTAGTCGTGGTAGTCGAAGTAGTAGTAGTAGTAGTAGTAGTAGTAGTAGTAGTAGTAGTAGTACTAGTAGTACTAGTAGTACTAGTAGACTTAGAAGTAGTAGTAGTAGTAGTAGTAGTAGTAGTAGTACTTATAAGTAGTCGTAGACCTAGCCGTTGACGTAAGTGCAATAGTAGTCAACTAGCGAAGATCATCACACCTATACTTGACACATCAAACCATGCACCAGCCCACCCACTCTCTCGATTCCCATGAACGCATGTGAGCAGCAAGCCCACAAGTGTTCAGCGTCACATGGCAAAAAAAGTCCTTGAGTTCTTTTTCTTGGGCTTCCGCCCTGGTCCGAAACGGGGCCCAACGATTTGGCGGGGTTAGTTAGGGTGCTGGCAGTTTATGTAGCTCCAAGTCGCGGGCTGGCTGCAAGAGACTGCACTAAGTCTCAAAAAAGGAGGTCTACGGTCTACGTGATAACAAAATTTTCCTACCGCAGGGCCATGGAGGCCTTTGTCATTCTATGCTTGGAAAGTTGGAGAGCAGGTTGTGCGCCGATAGCCGACATAGACTCGCGACAAAAACAAACGAAGGCTGAGTGTTGTTGTGATGAATGGCCCCCAGAGCATTCATGAAACCCACATAATGAAATCTACCCTCAGAATAGTTGATGCGATGATGAAGAATGATGCAGCAGACGATGATGAGGTGAGGATCATGAAAATCTCATCAATACAGCCTGTCGTTGCTGAAACATGTGCACATGTGCCGGATAAATGCGGCCAGAGCTCGCGAAGCCCTCGAGAGATGCGCTTTGCCGAAAGCCCTCATCAACAACAGGGCTTGGTCCGGAATTTCGACATGTGAGGGTTTTGAGCTTCAACCCGTTTGGGTTCGTGGCAGCTGCAAGCAGGGCTTTCCGGCAGTACTGCGTTGGTGAGAGGCTCCCTTTGCGGCAACATTGAGGAAACATTTGGATGGTTGGGTCGAACAGGGTGGTGGAAACCAAGTAGTATACCAACAAGACAGACCATCCAAGCCATAAGCTCGCGTTGGCTTCTTTCTCACTACCAAAACATATCTGTCTCGAATTAGTACTCATGCTACAGGAAAAGCAAAGGACAGGATGAGTTGTACTCAGGTTGCCAGGTTTCAAATTTCATTTTGGGCTGCAGACTTTTGGATTTCGGAGTTAAGAGATTGATGTGGGAGTTGTAGCGTGTATGGACTGAAGATTGAAGCTTCCCCAAACCAACTGTGCACCGCTAAACCCCGGCTTTCAGCACTCGGCGACCAAATCCTCGACCCGCACACGCCTGAACCACGAAGTTAATTTCACGAGCCGAAGAGTCTGGGACTGGGACATTCTCGAGCACAGATGAGCACGGAGCAGATGTCTGAGGAGCAGGGTTTGCTAGACGTTCATGTGAAATAGCAGGAGCTTTAAACGTGGAATGGGTCTAGGACATTTTCAGGTGGGTAGTTACCGTTATAGGAGCCTTACAGGAGGTCTATATACCTTATAGAAGCCTTATAGAAGCCCCATATACCCTAACCTCCCCCCCTGTAGTTTCCTTTAAATGGGTTTCGGTCGAAGCCGGGCCTCGGCTTCATAACTAGAGTAGGGCTTCGCTTTTATCAGGAAGCCTAAACAAAAGTGCTCCTACTTGCTCAGGCCACGATATGTCTGTGGCGTTACGGCCATTTCGTATTTCGGAAGAGAGACATATTTCGGAAGGCACAGACGGAGAAAGTCAGAACGTCCGGGAGAAAGCTAAATCGTTCAGTCGTTTCTAGCACGCAAGCCAGCAGTCAATACCTGGGTCCCAAACAGAAATCAAACCTATTCTCCTATAAACCAAACACAAACAACAAGCAAGCCTCGCATACCAGCAACCACAAAATTGTGTAAGCCATGTTCACAAAAGATACGTTGCCGACTCGAAATCGTAGTCAACCTGCCTAACTATTATAAGGGTTCCCTTAGGCCTTTTAACTTTTTAAAGTGCTCATTACCCTAAACCCTAAACCCTAAACCCTAAACTATTATAAGGGCTCGCTTAGGCCTTGTCACGTGTAAGGTGATCATTAAGACACCGCTCAACCCCTCAGGTCTCAACATGCAAGAACAAGGGAGTTTCCCAAAAGTAGGGTACCTTATTTTGGTGTCCTTTTTATAAGGGTCCTAATATTTAGGGTACTATATTAGGGTCCCCTATTTTCAGAAACTCCCACATGAACCTTGCACCACGAAGCCCAGAAACCCGACGACCTCATTTTCTTGCCTGGATGCCCAAATGCCCTAAACCCTAAACCGAAAAGTGAGCTCTAAATCCTAAACCCTAAACCCAAATAAACCTAAATCCTAAACCCCCAAACCCTAAACCGAAAAGAGCCGGAACAAATTGCTGGGCTGCAGGCTCGAGCTGAAAGCGGGGGCATTTGCTGCATGCCGGGGGCGGCTTTGCCTTATCCCAAATTGGTTTGACGGGGTGTTTTGGGGTTTGAAGTTTAGGGTCTAGGGGTTTAGGGTTCAGGGTTTAGGGTCTACCGGTTAAGGATCTGGCGGTTCGGGTTTAGGGTTCGGAGTCCTGGGTTGTTCGCTGTTGCTGACTTGTCTGTCTTGTCTGTTGTCGTCACCGTTGTTGCATTGCAGCTGTGGTCTTCTGGTGGTTTCCCAGTGGCTTCCAATCCCCTCCGTACAAGTTCTCAATCAAGGAATAGCATCTGTATTTTCTGGGTTTTTTGGTTGATGATTTACGACAGGGGCTGAAGTTTTATCAGATCAAAGCATTTGGGGCTGAGAGTTTGTGATTTCTGGCATATTTACGGATGAAGGAGCAAGGGCTGTCGGTGTAGGGCTGCGTTTTCCGTATACAGGCCTGAGGCATACAGTGTGCACCGGATTGCTTCAGTGTCTCTTTCGCTTTTTTGTGGCGGCCGGTTGAGGCCTAGTCCCCTTGATTCACATACTCAGGGGTTTAGGGTTTAGTTTCGGGATCTCTCTCTCTCTCTTTCTCTCTTGGCTTGTCTGGCAAAGTTGTTCCGGGGCTTGGACATGTCTGCTCGGTTCAGGTAGGTTGTCTCCCGCACATCCCCCATCTCTCCCGGGCCGTACCTAACGCGCGGAGGCACTCCGCGGAGAAGACCAGCCGACAGGGTAGGGGGGGATTGGGGGTGCATCGGAAGGCATCCAAGAGGATTCCCTCGTGCAGGGTACCTACCCCGCGCAAGCAACCCACGAGGGCCGGGGGGGGGGGGGGGGGTGAACTACAATGTATCCTGTATCCAACACACGCGAAAGAATTCCCTTCTGCCGGGTACCTCCAGGAGGTATCTGACAAACAGAGAGGAAGCAAAGCATTTTAAATCCTCGACTTGACAAGTACCTAACGCCAGAGGTAATGGAAGTGCGCGAAAGGATTTAACCCGCGAGGGGACATGGGTGGGGTTGGGGGGTAAACGCGCGCGAAAGGATCCCTCTTTTGGGAGGTACCCCGCGCAGGTAACCCGAGGAGAGAAATTGAGAGAGGAAGCAACATCCGACATCCTCCAGTTGACAGGTGCCTAACCCGCGAAGGTACGTGACGTGCAGGCCGGGGTATACAGGGAGTCTATAGTGAACCCCAGAAAGTTGGAAACCGGATTGAGGACAAATAGTGCTGGGAAGCCTTATACATTAACCCTAAACCCTAAACCCTAAACCCTAAACCCTAAACCCTAAACCGTATTACTCTTCAGGATTGAGGCTATTGGGTTCTCAACTTTGGGGCTTCTATGCTACATGTCTCCAGGCCTGACCCCCTTGCCGTAGAAAGCTTCATCCGAAGCCCCTTTGGGACGAATCCTGTTTAGGGTTTAGGGTTTGGGGTTTGGGGTTTAGGGTTTAGGGTTTAGGGTTTA